AAGATCTATCTTCCCGTTTCCTATTACCTATCTTTCATTTCGCTCTTTATTTACACTTTAGCTTTCCCACATAAAGGTGTGTCTGATTCGGCTCACTGAACATTAGGGTTTTAAGGTATATTCATTTTCCTACAAGAAATGGCAGAGTTTATTCTTTATGGCAGAGTAGTGCTCCACTGTGTGTAAACACCACATTTGCTTTATTCATTCATCTGTCAATGGGTGAAGCACCACTTTACATCCTAAATCTCCATCCCAGATAGAGCACACAGCAGTTAGGGGCTGAGGTGACCGGCGCAGCTCCAATGAACAGGAAACAGGAGATGCTTTTGTGGACGACAGTTAACTGCTAGTTTATTTAGGCGAGCTCTGGTTTATATATTCGGCCGTGACCAATCACAGGCTGCCACAAGAAAGCAGGGCGGGAATGGGATGTAGGCTCCGGCTACCATATCCAGCTGTGGCCAATCAGGAGTTGCCACAGAGTATGGAGTGAGCACGAAGTGCACACGGGTTGGCTAATTTAAGGAGGGACGTAGCGCATTGCGGAAGCTGGCGTGGTCCTTAGTCCCGGGTGGGGTATGGTATGTTGAGCGCCTGCGCCCAACATCTCCCCCTTTCTTTATAACTGACGCAGGGTCTCCAGAGGTCGGTGCCCCTCGTGAGGTGTCACGCTGCAGTCATGATGGTGCCTCACTACTCGTTGGTGCTCTTTTGGAGGGGGCGGGAGTATTGTTTTATGAGCCCAACCCGCATGCTCACCGACATGGGGACCGGGGTGTCTCCTGGCCAAGGACGACACCCCCTGCGATGCTTTGCTCCACACCTGCGTCACAGCATGGCGAGCCATGCTGCCGGGCTTTGACCAGATTCCATGATCAGCAATGCTTGTTTGATACTTTGTCCCTATTCCTTTGTCTGCCAATCCTACAGAGCAGAAGTAGACTGCCGAATGCAGCAAGTGTAGTCATGGTAGCCAGAGCCCCTGTTCCTGCCCATTCCTTTATGAAAGCCAATTGGAGAGTTGGCCCGAGCTGGATCACAGGAAACTCGTCTGAGTCCGCCATAACTGGAACCGGTGTGAACTGGAGTACCTGCATAACAACAGCTGAAAGTGTACTGTTATCCCAACATTATAACATATAACAGGTTGCGGTGGAGCAATTTAGAAAAGTCATTGGCTGCAAGGACCGTACGAGATGTAAGAAGGAAGGGAAAAGGAGGCTACTAACCAGGGGAGTTGGCCAAGGTGCCATGGTTAATGGGAGTTGTGGGTATACTTGCTTGGTCTGGCTTGTGAGGCTCCTGTTGGTTCCCCTGTTCTGTGGTTGACGTTTCCTCTGGGTCAGGGTCTGGTGGTTTGCAGGGACGTATCAGGCGTTCCGGGACCCAGACAGGTTCGCTGCCTTCTTCCTGCGGGAAGACACAGACCGCCCCTCTCCCCCAACTAAGTACTGGGCTGGGGCCTCTCCACACCCCATGCAGGAGGTCTTTCTAGCGTACCCAACCATGTTTGGGTGCGACAGGGTTGGCATGTAGCTGTGCTGGCGTGGATCCTTGTGGGTTGATGTTTACAAAATTGTAAGTGAAGAGGGCAAGATTTAGTCTGGCCCTAGGTGTCATGCCCTGGGCAATACCCTCCTTTTGTTTAAACAGAATAGACTTGAGGGTTTGATATGGCCTAACTTTAATTGCTCTTGAATAAGTTTGGATGCGGCTTCTGCTTTGTCTCGTGGTAGGGCCGTCAACAATGGCAAGCCCCGACTCCTGCCAAGTTAACGAACTATACCTGGTGCTGACCCAGAGCAGCTGTGAGCTGCTTAATGAGCAGCATGGCTGTCTCTGCGTCTCCAAAAATTCTCCCTGCTGCCTCCATCATGCGGGCCACAAAATCTGAAAAAGGCTCGCTCGGGCCCTGCAAAATTTTTGTCAAGTGGCCTGAGACTTCTCCCCTAGCCGAGACCCGTTTCCATGCTTGTATGGCTATTCTATTTATCTGTGCATACACCTCTTGTGGAAATATCAGCTGGTTATTGAGATACTGCCCTTGTCCTAATAACATATCCGCGTTCCAGGCGGCCTGATTGTTCTGGGCATTAGCTTGGGCCTGTTCTGTGGCAAGTTCAACATTCCAAGCTTTCTAATCAAGATATTGGCCTGGGCTGAGCACTGCCTTGCACAAACTGGCCCAATCAGCAGGTGTCATGGCATTTCCTGCCATGGCTTCTACTAGGGACAGGGTATACGCCCCATTAACACCGTACATGGTGCTGGCCTCCTTAAGATGCTTTATCGCCTTCATATCTATAGGCAGGTGGGCTCTGTTTCCCTGAGCATCTACAGCAACCGGAAAAGCCTGGAGAAAACGGCCCAGGCCTCCTGGGTCGTCTCTTTTGACTTGATGCCAAAGGTCTTCCTGGAATGTCCCAGGGGACGTCTGGACCCGTTTCGGACAGCTACATAGCTGATGGCAGGGTCTCCGGTGAGTATGATAATCTGGCGGGTCGGGAGGTAGAGCTGTAGGTCTTATACGGGGCGGCCCTGGGATCCCGTACTCGCTTTCATTGACCCATTTACTCTGAGAAATCCTGCGTTGCAGCTCATTTATGGCCTCAGAGTAAGGCCCTCTCGACTGCGTGTGTGTGACTTCCCCTCTTTTGGTGGTGTCTGCATCCACCATTTTGTATACTTCTTCTTCCTCCCCCTCATTATCTGACAAGTCCTTTGTTTCTGGGTTGGGTGGGGTCACCTCGCCTGCGGCACTGGACTCACGAGATTGCTCGCGGGAGGATTCTGCCTGATGGTAATCAAGCGCCATGGCGCCAGCCCTTATATGGTCACGACAAGAGGTGTCTGCAAGGCAGCTTCTCACCACTGCCCAAAGGGGTCTGACTCCTGGCTCCAAGAGGCCATTTTCTGCTGCAAAGTCAAGATCTCTCCCTAATTTATCCCAGCTGGGGATGGTAATGGACCCCGTGGGACCAAACCAAGGTGCTACCTTATCGACCTGATCGAGGAAGTTTTGAATTTGTTCTTGTTTCATTTGTAATCCCTTTTCTCTCAGTAAGTCGCTTAAGGCGACTGACAGTGGCTGAGTAGCCGTGTTACCCATGTTAACCAGAATTTCAAGAGTTTCTTTTTATTTATTTATTTTTTTCTTTTTCCTTTTTTTTTTTTTTTTTTTTTTTTTATACAGGGACAGCTTAGTCCCCGCGCCCCTTTACGGCGCCCCCAAAACCGGCCCCTTTACGAGTTCCTGACCCTTGCGACGCGTCCGCCCAAGGTTGCCCGATAGCCCCCGCTATCCGGCCCTGCAGCCCCCGCTGCCTGTTGCGTAGCCCCCGCTACCAACGTTGAGCAGTTTAACCTGTCAGCCCCCGCCCGCCAAGTAGCCCCCGCTATTGGCGCTTGACGGTTTTACCTGTTGACGCTCTGTTCCATCGGAGAGAGGGTCTCAGCTCTCCTCGTACTGTCGGAGAGAGGGTCTCAGCGCTCTGGGAGAGAGGGTCTCAGCTCTCCGGGCTCCCCGTACGGGCCACCAGTTGACCGGCGCAGCTCCAATGAACAGGAGACAGGAGACGCTTTTGTGGACAACAGTTAACTGCTAGTTTATTTAGGCGGGCTCTGGTTTATATATTCGGCCGTGACCAATCACAGGCTGCCACAAGAAAGCAGGGCGGGAATGGGATGTAGGCTCCGGCTACCATATCCAGCTGTGGCCAATCAGGAGTTGCCACAGAGTATGGAGTGAGCACGAAGTGCACACGGGTTGGCTAATTTAAGGAGGGACGTAGCGCATTGCGGAAGCTGGCGTGGTCCTTAGTCCCGGGTGGGGTATGGTATGTTGAGCGCCTGCGCCCAACACTGAGGAAGAGTCACACATCCACAGTTTCTGGAAAAATCCATTGGAGGGAGGGAGGAGGGAGGAAGAGAAGATGGGAGAGAGGAGTGGAAGGAGGAGGGACAAGTTGTGAGGTGCAGGGGCCCCGAGGCCCCCAGCCACACTTAGAACCACAGTGTGGACGTCACAGCTCTGGACGCCCTGAGCCTTCCTGTCCTCAGGCAGCTGTGATCTCCGGCCCACCCCCACCCCAGCTGTCTGTCTCCTTGTAACCTTAGTGCTGGCACCTTTAGCCCTGTCACCGGGACGGGCCAGTAAGAAAGGAACGTGGTACCTTCATTATGCGAACAGCTGGTGATTCTTGCATGGACTTCTCAAGTGGCAGCGTGCCAGCTGGGCTCAGGGCGAGGCCTCACGGAGGCCACGGGCCACTTATCCCTGGTCTGGGTCATGGCTGATGAGGATGCAGCTGTGCCGAGGCTGTCCGAGTGTCTCAGGGTCTTGCTGCCTGGCCCAAAGAGTGGGGATGGAGTCACAGATCCTTGGCAGCAGGGACAGCGTGGCCTGTGTGCCCGTCTGACCTCGCTGCAGGTGGCACATCACGGATGTGTGTGGTCAGGGTTCCAGGCTCCAGGCAGTGGGGTTAATGTGTGTGTCGGGGTTCAGGTACCCTTGGAACAAGGCGATTGCAGAGCTCCATGGGTACAGATTGCGAGGGACGTTGCTGCTTTAGGAAACCCGGGCTGTTTCTTTGTCTCTGACGTGCACACTTTAGCACCTTTTTATAACACTGAAACGAGGAGGTGACTTTCAGTGGAAAATGCGTTAGTTCCGCTGATGGCTTTTTCTATGTTTGTGAAAAAGAATAAATTTTCAGTCCTGAAATGTTGCCTTCATGTTTGCCTCTTTTTCTCCTATAATTACCGATACCTGTTTCATGGGAAAGATAGCAATGTATCTTACCTTTAATGGTTTCCATATTTTTTTAAAGAGAAGTAACAGACTATATATATCTTCTGCAGTGTGCATTTTTACATGAGTTGCTTTGTAGCAATAGGAATATGAACATTAAACTTGATTAAATTGCTTAAAAAGCAGGCTTCCTTTTAAATGAGTTTTGCTGATGTTCTTGATATTTGTTTGATTCTGTTTGCAACAGGTTTATTTCCGGACAGTGGAGCTTGTAGAAGAGCCCATAAAGGGGTCTCCGGGTCTGAGCTTCTACTTTAGAATCAATGGCTTTCCCATCTTCCTGAAAGGCTCCAACTGGATCCCGGCAGACGCGTTCCAGGAGAGGGTGACCCCGGATGTGTAAGCTACTGGCTTTGCTCTTTTCTTCCCCTTTATACAGTGGCCCCCCCGAGGTGAAGAGCGCTCATCTTTGCCTGCTTTAGTCCTGGGAGAAGGATCTGAGAGGTAGCGTGGGATTCTAGCCTGATGGCAGCTTCGGGTTGGGCAGCATTTTGCAACCGGAAATTCCATTCTCCTGGCTACAGTCTGTGCAAGACCGCCGAAGCCGGCTGGTGTTTAGAAATCTCTAGCATATTTACTTTGGAGAAACAAAGCGACAAGGGTGGCGCTGGGGATCCTGAGGTCTAGAAAAGAAAAGAGTATCCAATCCAACCCTTTCCCCAGAATACCCTGAACATATTTTTAAATTTTTTATTTTAACTAATTATGTTTGCAATATGTAATTACATTCAGCATGGGGAGTTGGTATGGTTTTGAGTGTGGGTTTGAAGATGGAAACTCACGTTTATCTTCTTGTATAAGACTTATCTTTGATCTTAATGAAAGAACTTAAAAAGTCTTGGGGAGGGATGAGGGGGAGGAGATGAGACGCAGGCAGGTGTGGGGTGGACCAGGTGTGGGCATGGCCATGCCAGGCACTGTGTTGTGCCATCCATGGAATTCTTGAGCATTGAGGGGTACAGCTGCTCTCAACTAAAAACACACCAGAAAAATGGTTACTTTGCAAAGCGGTGGATCCGTTAATTTGCTTGCTGTAGTAATCTTTTAGTTAACTACCTATGTGCCTTGCTAGCATGTTCTATACCTTAAATATATGCAATAAAACTTTTAAAATTAAGCCAAAGTAAGTCATAAAATATTTTAGATTTAGAAAAAAAACTAGAAGTGTTTTTTTGAGGTTTTGGGAATAGACCTTTAGATAAAAATATTTCCTACTCGGTTTAACTCATATATATATATATATATATATATATATATATATATATGTATTATGTTGTATTATTTGGTGTTTAGAAAGGAAATCCTAATTTGGCTAAAACTTGTGGGAATTCCCTTTTTCCAAATGTATGTATAAAAAATGTATGTATTTTAGATTTCATAAGAAAATGAAATTCTCACTGGATGTGGTGGTACATGCTTATAACCTCAGCACTCTGAGAGGCTGAGGCAGGAGGACTGCATGTTAGTGGCTTCGTGAGACCCTGACTTGGAAAATAAAAAAGGACTTTGATTTTGTCTTATTGCTTGGAATGTTCCTGTAAAATAAGCGTGCTTTCCGGGGTTTACACAGGATTTCGCCATAGGAATAAGCTATAAAAGATAGTTTTAAAAGCAGTGCACCACTATTGCTAAAAACTTAGAAAAAGTGTGTCATCCGTAAATAACTTTTCAGTTGTCTCCTTTATGTGATGCAATTGATACGTACACTGTTTTGCCCCACTTTCTTTAATTAACATTATATACAAATCGTGATTTGTCAGGTGTGTGCTCCTGCCGGACTGGGAATGTTTTAGGAGTTTTCCTTAGTATCCCGAAATGCCTGGACCGAGGTTGTTTTGCTGGTTTCTCCTCAGGCTGCGGCTCCTTCTACAGTCGGTTGTGGACGCAAACATGAATGCGCTGCGGGTTTGGGGGGGCGGCATCTATGAGCAGGACGCCTTCTATGAGCTCTGCGACGAGCTGGGGATCATGGTGAGTCCTGGGGCGCGTGGCCCTGGGTGTGCTGGGGGCACAGCAGCGGTGACGCGGTGACCTGTGTCTCAGCAATGGGCTGCACCACGGCATAACCAGAGCCCAGGCTGGCAGGGGTATTGGAGTTGTCTGATTATTTTGGAATGTTCTAAGTATCCCCCTACCTACGCTTTCCTTGTGATACGTAGGTATGCATAAGAGAAAAGAAAATACTCAGGCAGTGTAACTGTCAGAGAATGAGGCTGCTAGGATCGGGCGGGGAGGCCGCGTCAGCATCATCCTCCCCCCACCCAATGCTGTCGCCATGTCCTTCGCAGAGTGGGGCTGAGTGGGGGAGCGTCCTCTCTCAGTGTCTGGGCCTGGATCCCAGCATCCTTGGATACCGCTATCCCTGCGTGTGGCGTGGAGGAGAGGTTGCAGCCAACCACGTCACTGTGCCAGCCCTGCACACGGACTCCAGACCTCGGGCCCCTTGCCCGCTGTGACCTGGTGGCATGTCCGTGCTTGTATTGTTTGGGGAGCAGCATTGGGAAAGTGTCTGTTGGGGCTCTGGGGAGGTGTGATTTGTTGCTTTTTTAGCATTTCTGATCCACGGTTGGATCCGAGGATACAGAGTGCAAACGTGTGGTGGGCCGTGGCCACTGTCCCTGTTCTGCTCTCACAGTTACGGGACACGCAGGGTGCCTCGGCCAGCAGGGCTTAGTGATAATCACGATGCTGCCGACCCTGCGGGGATCTGTGCGTCCCTGCTCTAACGCTCCGCCCTTACTTTACGTCATTGTCTTCACACCCCACAAGGAGCGGTCACTGTTGTCCTCTGGCTGCACTTGCAAGGAGGGAACCGACACACTGTGGGGGGCGGTGTCAGAAACTTCACCCCAGCACCTTCTCTACCCCGTGCAGAGGCCTCCTGGGAGGGGAGAGGCTTCTCGGTCTCATTGCTGAAGTGGACTTGCAGCAGGAAGTCAGTTCGCCCATAAACCAAGTGTCACACCGGTGTGACAGCACACACTTAGACTCCCAGCTACATGGGAGGCTGAGGCAGGAGGGATCACAAGTTTGAGGCCATCCCAGTGACTTAGTGACTTAGTGAGACCTTGTCTCATACACACACGCACACACACACACACACACACTCACAAAGGACAAATAACATGTTGATTTTTATCACTCTCAGGCATCTCCCTAAACCAAATGGGTGGTGAAAGTTAGAAAGAATGAGGCATAAGGAGGTTCTGGGGAACCTTCATTTGTTTTCCCCCAGTCCACTTATGATCTCTTTTTTGATTTCTCCTCTTTTTTTGCTCCCATGTCTGCCCACCTGCATGGCCCTAGGGCAGCATGAGGTCTGTGGCCAGTGCACTGCTCCTCTAAGCTGTTTCCTGGGTGTGAGGGACGGGACTCTCTCTGCGTGGGGACACTCAGCAAGCTCTCTGTGCCCTGTGTTTCTTTGCCAGGTGTGGCAGGACTTCATGTTTGCCTCTGCCCTGTACCCAGCCAACCAGGCCTTCCTGGATTCCGTGCGGGCAGAAGTTGCTTACCAGGTATGCTGTGGCCACTCTGAGGTGTGCATGTCTCATTTTCCTCTTGTTCAGTGCCTTCCCACTTCTTCTTCTTAATTATCTCACCTTTTCTTCTTATTCTATACCAAATGCCAAGAAAAATCATGCACTGGTTTTAATACTACGTGCTTGCTGGTGGCCCCAGACTTGAGCCCTGTTCTCTGCTCTCCGTTGAGCTTTTGTCCCTGCGTCCAGCTTCCTGCCCTGCACCAGGCTTCTCACCCCTGCAGCAGTCTCCAGCTGCGTGACGACAGTGTGTTCTTGGGATTGCTTGGGAGAGAAACTGAAAGTGATTCTCAACCTTGTGATTTCTTTTGCGTTCCATATGTATGTAAATGTAAAGCCTGGCAATCTGCTGACACTGTCTACAGAAGTCCTGGAGACAATGTAAAGAACCAAGTATCTTCGTATAGAAATGGTCTTTCCTGTTAAGACAAAGGCCTTTCCTGGGTCCCGTGGCCTCTCTGGTGGGCCCAACTCTGTAGGTGTTGGAGCATAGGTGCTGGAGGCCAGCCTGTGCCACAAAGTGAGACCACATCTCTGGAGAAAAATGATCTTAGCTTTAGGCTGGGGTAGGAGTTGGTGGTAGGAAGGGCCCCTGGCTCCAACTGCCACTACCGAAAAACAGATTCCTCTGGGCTGGGGGGAAGCTCAGTGTGAGAGCCCTGGCCCAGCATGCTCACGGCTTTCGGTTCAGGTTCCAACACTGCACAGAATGAGAGTGGGAGGGAGAGAGACGTGGGGAGGGGCTTCCTTGAGGACTGACAGATTCCAGGTTTGGAGTGTGTTCTTTACTAGTGGTGGTGCTTACTACAGTATCATTGGTACATGGTTTTGGCCATGGAGCAGGTTTAGGAGCGAGTGCCGAATGTCCTTATGTTGGCAGCAGGGTGCGTGTACAGGGCGGTGCTGTGACACTTAGATTGTGTTTTGTTCTTCCTTGCATCTTTGGTGTGTGGTGAGGGTTTCCACAGGGAAGTAGTTTGTTCCCCAAGCCTGATCAGAGTGTTCACTGTGGTTGTGAGTGTTGTCAGACGTGAGCTAAGTATTCTGAGCTGTGCTAAGTTCTCCAAACTGTATCTTGTAGTGCTAAGTACTCCAAGCCATCCCCCTGAGTTGCCTTTCCCTGTGGGAATAGTTCTCCCATCACCTCCTCCCTCGTGTCCCGAGCCCTAGACATCATCTTCCTGGGACCACTAGTGGGCCTGAACGCAGCTCTCTTAGGAGCCCTTACTGCACCGTGGGTCTAGGCTGGTCCTTCACCTATCCTGGGGACAGGTGACATGTGGCATTCTTGCCAGTGCTTAAGTTCTGTCACCTGGAAGACTGCATCTCCATGAGGCCCAGCACTTCCTTCTGTGCCCTGTCTCTGTCTGACTTCGCCATCTAGTGGACAGATGGATGGACGGACAAATGGATAGTGGAGAGCTTACAGTGGTCATGGTTACACGATTATGACAGAGGGGCTCTTCTAATTCTTTCGTGTGCTGCTGGGAGAAGCACAAGCGTTCCGGGCGGTTTGCTGTCATTTGTGATGTGGCTGACCCTGGTGCCGTCTACTCACCCTGCATGTGGCGCAGGGTCCCTGGGGCTCTTTGCCTCCTCAAGGTGTGCATCTGTGTGGTCACCAGCATCCTGAGCATGCTGACAGTGGGGTTGTCACACAGCTGGGCAAGGCAGAGCCAGCAAAAAGGACTGTTCACAGGGCTGCTTAATGCAAGACTTTAGTTTTTAAAAACACGAAACATGCTCTGTGCCTCAGAAGTGATCTCCTGGCTGGAGGTGGGGTGGCTGGTGCTCTCAGGAAGGGGCCAAAGATTAGATTGTAGAAATAGGGGCCATGCTTTTTCAAAGAATTGTGTTGCAAGTGCTTTATCAGTTTGAAAGGCACTAGTCTGAGTAGCCAGACTCCTGGCTGGTTCCTGGAAGATTGCTGATCATGTGCAGCTGCTTGAGCGAGCGGGTCAGGGCTCTGCCATGAGACAGGTGGAAGACAAAGCCCTACGCACCATCTTGTCTCCAGCAACCAATGAGAGGTGCTGGCCAGGGAGTGATGAAGCATGCCAAATGGTGATGTCAGTCAAAAGGTGATGTGGGGCTCCGAGTATCAGTGTTTCGCCAGGTCGTAAAGGCTAGTGTATCAGTATGTGAAAAAGAGGTCTTGCATTTTTGTGGAAGGGAAGTAGACGATGGTGGGTATGTGGATACAAATATGCGAGGTGACAAGCAACAGTGATCGTGGCTGATAGCATTGTCTTTTTGCATGATCGGACAAAGAGAAGGAATGAGGGGTCAGTTCTCTGGCCGTCGTTTGGTACAGTCTCCTTTCCAAATCGTGTGTAGCCTTTATAGTTTTAAGGACAAGAATTAAAATGGTATCTTATAAGATGGTTTTAAAAAACACAAGACATGCCTTTATTTGTTCCTTTTTCGATACCAGGAAATCAAACTCATGACCTTGTGCTTGCCAGGCAGGCAGTTATGACACTGAGCTAATCCCCAGCTTGTTCCTTTTTATTGGATTTTTATTTCCATTTGTACACACACGTTTGAAGCACATGATTACTGTCCTCACATGGGGCATGCATATAACTCATCTCTCCTCCTTCTCCTCCCCTTCCTTCCCCTCCAGCTCTTGATCCTCTTGCGTTTTGCAAAAGGTCTTTCTCCTTGTTTCCTATTATCCATCTTTTATTTTGGTCTTTATTTATACTTTTGATTTTTTACGTAAGAGACAGTATACAGTTTTTAAGCTTATGTGTCTGAGTTGTTTGCCTTAACATTATGGTCTCGAGGTATATCCGTTTTCACAAATGACTCGGGTTCATCTTTCTTTATGGCGGGGCGGTGCTCCAGGGTGTGTAAATGCCACATTTTCTTTGTTCACTTGCTGATGGATATACAGGCCACTTCCAAGATTTAGCTGTTGTGGATTGTGCTTCTCTGAACATGGATGTGCGTGGGTCACCGTGGCAGAATGCTTTTAACTCTCTTGGGAAGATACCTCAAGGGGAATAGGGTTTTGAAGAATCCCCACGCTGCTTTCCATAGTGGTTGTACTAGTTTACACTCTTCTCAGCAGTGTGGCAGGGCTCCTTCCTCCCACATCTTCACAGCGTTTGTTATTATTTGATGATGGCCATCCTTTCTGGGATCTCAGTGTGATTTTAATTTGTGTGTCTTGGCTGGCTGCCAGTGTTGAGCACTTTTTCATCTACTGACGGAGTGTTTGTGCTTCTTCTGGGAATGTTTATTTCATCTGCCCATTTCTTGACTGGGTCTCTCCTTTTTGCGGGGCAGTGTCCGGTGTTCTGAGTTCTTTCTGGAGTCCTCGGAGGAGTTGCTGGCAGCTCCCCTGTTCCTGTCATTCTGCCAGTCGTTCTCTTTGCTGTGCAGACCTTCTCGCGTTTTCTGTGATCCCATGGAAACGGCTCTCCATGATGTGCCCCAAGCGCCCTTTTTCGTGTTTCTGAGCTTCTTGGCTGCATGCTGTGACTGTCCATGCTGGCGACAGAGAGCCTGTAAATAGTGATAAAGTTGCAGTGTCCCTGCACACTGCTGGCAGGGACTTGCCTGGTCATTGGTACTCCTCATGGCCTTCTGCCGGCACGTGTCAAGGTATCAGTGGATGGGGCGTGCTGCTCTTAATGGTTCCCAGGCCAGCGGGGCTTCAGGAATAGTCCCCGGCTTCCATCCCTGTTGGGGCACAGTTGGTGGCTTCTGACCTCAGCAGCTGGTTCAGGGGGCTCCAACTGCCTGTCACTTCTAGAGATCCTCACATACTCACTGTCTAAAACCTTCTCCAGTTCTCCTCTGGCTTTACTTTTGTATTTTTTAGCTTGAAGCTGTATTTTATTGTTCAGATTTATGGGGACCAGTGTGATAATTGGGTGCAGATGTGCAGTGTGCAATGGTCACACCAGGGTAGTTAATAGTACCATTTCCTTATGTGATAAAAACACAGTTTAATTAATGCACAACCATTCCAAGTTGCTCTGCACCCTTAGGGCTGACTGTGTGGGCATAGCTTGCTGTCCCAAGCTACAGACCCATCGTGGTGGCCACACGTGCGAGGGACACTGTGGGGACTCTGTCCTCTCTGCTGATGGCATCTGATGAGGGCCCTGATGACACCCCGGACATTGGGATGCATGGATGCAGGGTTGTGGTTGTGCAGGTCAGCAGGACAGCCTGCCCCACTCCAAAATGCTCGTCCCACCGACTGATCAGGTCTGTTTTCATGTCAGATTTTTTGTTAAGTAAAAAGACAAAGTGATTGTACATGTTTATGGGGTGCAGCATGATACCCCAGGACAGGCCAACAATGTGTTGTGATTAGCTCTGCACCTTTGCTTTGTGTTTGGAGTCTTCGTGCCCCTTCCAGGTTCTGGGTTGTTGCAAAAAACTGGGGTCCCCTAGCCTCGGGTGCCATCTGCTGCATGCCACTGCCTCCCCAGAACTCACTCCTGCCCTCTGTTTTTCCTGGCAGTTCTGAGGACAGCAGCTGGGTTTCTTTCCCTTTCTAATGGGATTGAAATGGGATTTTACACAGCACAGGAAAGGAAGCCATCTCATCAGTATATGTTAAATCTGAATAAAAAGGATCTCAGAGAATTCTTATAGGGTGTCCCGCAACTGACACAACTAGCCTGTTTCTAACAATCTTGTGTGTGTGTGTGTGTGTGTGTGTGTGTGTCCTGAAATGCAGGGACTCTAGTTTCATAGACAGTTATGCTCTACATGTGTTTTTGGGAGATTTTCATGTCTTCTGCATTCCAGGTCAGGAGGCTGAAACCCCACCCGTCTGTCATCCTGTGGAGCGGCAATAATGAGAACGAGGGGCTGCTGGCCGTGAACTGGTTCCATGTCCCGCTCGGCGACCTGGAGACATACATCAAGGACTACGTGACACTCTATGCGGCCAACATCAGGGAGGTTGTGTTGGCGGTAAGTAGTGGTTTTTAATGCGCTAGAATTTAGGGAATGTGTTTCTCTGATGGGTAAATGTGGATACTGGTGGGCTATTTTATACACCTTTATGGCGCCGTCTTTGACAGGATGTGCTGGAGGAAGGTGTGTTCCTGTCCTGCAGAGGTAGCTGGAGGGACCCCGGGCTGTGTGGGCACCTGTGATGAAGACATTGTCTGGGGAGCTCTCCACACACATCTAGTACTTTGGACCGTATCCCTGGGCCTCCAAGTGTCCATTCTCCAGCCAAATTCAGTGGTTTACTGGGGTGCTGCCTCTATAGTCCTGTGCCAGTGAATGCTAATCAGGTTTGGTGTCCGTCATACATGAACGTGTTGGCATGTGACTAAGGATTCTTTTCTAGCAAAGGATTAGAGGAGTGTGAGATTCTTAATAAAGAAATCTGTTATAACCAAGAACTCCCAAGTTAATGGGAATGTATGATATGCCAGGTACTGCTACATTAATTACAATCACTTTATTAATTAATATTAGATATTCCCTGGTACCTTGGCTCCTGAATGCCTTTGCCTGTGTGTCTGGCAAAATTTTGCTTTTATTTGCAATACATTTGTGTTGGGTGAGAAAAGCAACCACAGCCATCTTTCCTTCGTGGCCATCTTTTCCAGAATTGTGGAATAAATTAAGTTCATCAACCAAGGTACCACTGTGAATGTATTAGTTATATACTGCTTTATATAATTTGTTTAATTTTAGAATTACCTTAGGATGTAGGTAATACCATGTCATCTCTGTTTCACAGAGGAAGACCTGGGGACTGGGGAGATGAGTCTCAAGGTTGCAGAGGGACAGGTGGTGGAGTCCAGTACTGCAGGAAGGGAAACGAGGTGGTGGAAACAGTGTCTGCATGTGGAGCTGGCACTGTTCAGAGTGACGCAGGGAGGGCACAGGTGAGGCTGCTCTTGCTCCTGCCAACATAGGCAGATGCTGGCACGTTGGTGTATTTGGGATCCTTTAAGAGAGCCCTCTTGGAAAGGCTGACATAAGCTATGGCCAAGCTATGTCCACACATGCAGAGCTTCTGGACTCTCCGTGGTCTCATGAGTGGAAGTGGGTGGTGGCGTGAAGAGCACGTGGGTGTCTGAGCAGGCGCCTTCAGCACCTACAGCCTTCCTGGGGCCTGGAGCCTGTGCTGTATTCCACGTAATCATAGCGTAGCCCAGGGCAACCGCACTGGGCTCAGGCCACACTGGGACAGGTGACTGAGATTGTTCCAGGGTGACCGTCTAGGACCCAGAACGACTGTGGCTGGCATAGATATTGGTTACAAGAGCCCAGCAGAGCTGCGGGGCTTCTCTCTCTCTCCTACCTTGGTTGGACATGGATATATTGGACAGACACATGTGAAAGGGAGATCCTCTTGGAGAGACAGAGAGTGTGGTCATATGTGGAGACGACAGTGGCATCCTGACCTCCGCCTAGGTGCCAGGTGCCGTGCTAGGTCCTTTCAGCCCACTCAGCACTTGGCAGCTTATGTCACACACAAGTGTTTCCTCCTCATGGATGCTGCCCATAGATTCCTGTCCATGGATAGCCACATGGGCAGATGCCATCCTCTGAGAGATGACAGGGCCCGACACTGCTCTGTGTCATGGAAGTGGGGCCAGCAGTCCTTTCTTGATGGAATTCAGTGCTCAAGGTCCTAGTGTGCACAGTGTGCTGTCCACGTCCTCGTTCACAGAGGAGATGCTCAAGTGCAGGTCAGCCCCAAATCATGAGGGACTAAAGTCTGGGCACCTCAAGCCCATCTGCTTCTGTCCTTAACCTGGTGTCCCTGGGCAGAGGTGATTGGCCCCAGGGAGCTCTTGGCAGTGTCACAGACAGTTTTGGTGTAGGGATGTTGGCATCAGGTAGATGAAAACCAGAGATGTTGCTAGGTACCGTGTGTGACTCCAAAACGCAGCATCCAGTCCCAGATATCAGTGGTGCTGCAGACAGGGAACCGCATTAGATGACCCATGGTCTGGTGAGGGTGTACAGTGAATGTTCAAATGTAAAAAATGTATCCTAGTCAAGACCAGAGGGCCGTGCACAGTCCTCCTCTCATTCTGAACGCCCCCAGCCCTTTGTTCCTTTTGAACACACAAGTCAGTCGCTGTGTTTTTAGAGTGGTGAGTTTGTTAAACCAGATGTCGGTCCAGCTCATCCCCACCTGGGACGGAGGAGCGGAGGGAAATTTACTGAAAGGTGGGAGCCGCTCTGCGAGGTCGTGCGCCAGTGCTGCCCTCACACGGAAGGACCCAGGGTGGGCGAAGAGCAGGGTGGCACTGGGATTTCTGGGACCGGGAGCGTTTTTAAAGAAGTGGTCTGTTCTTTGTAGAATAAAAACATGATGCTTAAAATCACTGTATTTCTGCCCCAGGGAGACAAGACTCGTCCCTTTGTGCCATCCAGCCCTTCGAATGGGATCGAAACCGTCGCAGAAGGCTGGGTTTCGAGGCACCCTAACAGCAACCAGTATGGAGATGTACATTTTTATGACTATGACAGCGACTGTTGGAACTGGACTGTTTTCCCCAAAGCCCGATTTGTGTCTGAATATGGCTATCAATCCTGGCCGTCCTTCAGTGCCTTAGAAAAGGTAAACCTTCATTCATTTGACTTTCTAGGCATTTGGAATGGTTGACTGTGGTGTACATAGCTTCTGAACAGTGGCTCAGGAAGCCAAATGGCTCAGGAAGCCAGGCTCTTTTTGTGTGGAGATACTGGAGATCAGTGAGCTGCATCCCCAACCCTTTTTTAATTTTGAGACAGGGTCTTGCTGAGTTGCTCAGGCTGGGCTGGAACTTTTAGTCTTTCTACCTCAGCCTCCAGGGTGCTGGGATTACAGGAGTGCACCGCCACACCCACTTTTCTCTTACTTATATGAAAGTTTAGGAAGAAGATGGAAGAAAAGACTTTTTTTTCATCTTTGGGGAGCTAAGCTCTTGTGATTGTCATCTTGGGACTGTAACTTTTCTATATTGCCTTTGGTTATGTTCCTTTGGGAACATTTACAAGTTAAATGTGAGTTAGTGCTCATTTAATCTGAATTATTGTTGCATTTAAAAATAACTCTTACCTGCTACTCTCTGTATCTCCAGCATCCGTTTCGCTGTATCTCCAACTGTTTTAGCATGGATAGATGTTCCAGACTGAGCTTTCATTACAGAGGATGTGATAACCCTTTCCTCTCCTCCTCCTCTTCTGTTTTTTCCTCTTTCTCTCCCTCCTTTTTCTTCATATTTATGTATTTGGTCTTCTGTGTGAATTTCCACTCTCAGTTTCAGAGTTGTGGTGTTCCTTTAAAAACAGCTTTGTTGAAATAGTTCACTTACTATAAAATTTACCCACGTGCTGCATTCGATTCAGTGATCTGCAGTGTGTTCCCGGAGCTGTGCAGCCACTGCATAGTCTGACTGTAGATTTCTATCATTCACGAGATTCGCTGACCCATTAGCAGCCTCTCTTACCCCATCCTCCTACCCAGGCCCTGGGTTCCAGTGAAACACTGTTGATGCCGATAGACTTCCTGTTCCCGTGGTTCATGCGATCAGAACCGCACGACCTGTGTCTTGAGACTGGTGTTTCTGTTGTGTGCATTTTCCACATTTTGCACACCATGTTTGTGCACATGTTGTGTGAACCTGTGTGTGCACTGTTTGTGTGAATTTTCAGCTGCACAGGTCTCATCTGTGAGTAGAATTGCCGTGTCATGTGCTAACTGTACATTGAGTGTGAAGAACTAATGTGGTTCCCATGGTGATGGCACTAGTTTTATGACCACGCTATTGCCAGCAGTGGTCATTTTCCATTTTAAAAGCAGTTCCTGGAAGTATGCCTGTGTAGAGACTTTGGGTTTCCTTAATGGCTGAATGTGTTGAGCACTTTCACATGCTTATTGGCCATTTGTCTTCTTTGGAGAACTGTGTGCTCAAATCATTTGCATACTTCTTAGTTGCATTGTCATTTTATTGTTGAGTTATGAGAGTTTTTTAAAAAATGTACCCTGGAGGCTTGGAATTTAGCTCAGTGGCATAAGCTCCTGCCTGGTAAGTGCAAGGTCATGAGTTTGATCCCCGGTACCAAACAAAACAAAACGTACCCTAGAATTTTAAAAACCAGATCTGTAGTTTGCAAATATTTTCTCTCAGTCTATGGGTTATCATTTTATCAGCTTGATGGTGTCATTAAAAGCATAAAAAATTTAATTTTGACAAAGTTTTACCTGCTGCCAGTCTCTTTGAGCTTTTGGCCTTGACTCTTAAGAAATCCTAGCCTAATCCACATGAGAAATGTTTATTCTTGTGCAGTCTTCTGGGAGGGTTTTGTGTTGGCTCTGGCACATACGACCCATTTCATTTTTCCATGTGGTATTAATGTGTGTCTAGATCCACTCTCGTGCCTGTGGGTGGCCAGTTGTTCTGATTCCATTTAACAGTGCCTGGCTTAAAAACCAAAAAGATCAGAGTGTCATTATTCAGTTGATGTCCTACATCAATAGGAAGCATATTCATCAGCCTTGTTTAGCAGTCACTGAGAAACAGATGATAGGAGCAAACTCTAAAACATCCCCTGTTGTCATTTTATTCCGATTTCAGAACTAGGACAGTTTTGACAAACTAATAACATAAAATAATACTCACTAAATAGACAAGAGGGTATTTAAAAATGCATATAATGAATGTGTTCTGATAAGGCAATACTTTTGAGAGAAGAAATAAGATATAACTTTCTAGGTACGAGCAAGAGAGGGTGAAGGTACCGGACTTTGACTAGAACGGAAGGTAGGTCTGTGAAACTGTAGGCACGGACCAACCTCAGGCTCTTCCCCAGCACGTAGAGTACTTTCTGGGTTTGTCAGGAACTTCTCATGACCAGCTTCCCGTCATGACTCTTCCCCTTTCCTTGGAAGGTCTCAGAGAAGGAGGACTGGTCTTACAACAGCACGTTCGCCTATCATCGGCAGCACCATCTTCACGGTAACGAGGAGATGCTTCGCCAGGCTGCACTGCATTTCAGGCTTCCACAAGGGCCAGACCCTGTCCGCACCTTCAGAGACACCCTCTTCCTGACTCAGGTGGGTCCTGTTACCGGGGCGAGGCTCCTGCAGGCTGATGTAGTGCAAAGCAGGTTTTGATTCTACTGATTTTTAAGGGGTTTATTTTCTTCACTATAAAGTGCTAACGTGTAAGATTTGAAATGATTAATTTTTGGCATTTGTGTCTTTTGTAAGAACAGCTTGTGAAATTCTAAATTGCATGTGAAAATATTCCCTAGTTTAAGGTTCTTAGAGAGGTTCGTCATTAAGAAAGGCTTTTCTCAAGGATGAAACACAACAGAACATAGGAGCATGCAGAGGTAGACTCCTGCATGATCTGGTCACCTGATTTACCACCATTTGCCACTGTGATTCTGGGGAAAAGAAGAGTTTTATCAATAAACAGTGCTGTGTCAAATGAGTACTTTTACAGGACAGTAAATGAACCTTGACTCCACGTGTAGAAATGAACTTGATTCCTGACCAGAGATTCAAATATGGCTGTTTAACTCAGTGGTAGACACATGCTTAGCACAACAAGGCCCAGAACCCAAAATAAAGTAAAATAAATACCTAAGCCTCAAATGTGAAAGGCATTGCGACCAGGCTTCCAGAGGAAAACACAGGAAAAGAGCACAACTGTATGAGTTTGGGGTCGGTAAAGAGTTCAGACAGGCAATGCATGGCCATAAAAGAAAATATTGATACACTATACTTTGCTAAAATTATGGGTATTGGGACGTAGCTCAGTGGTAGAGTACTTGCCTAGCACATTTGAGGCCCTGAATCCATCTCTGGCAACCCCAAAAACAAACAAAAATATGGGCTTCTCTATATCAAAAACGCCTCTAAGGAAGGCAAAAGGCAAGCCAAAGGCTGGGGACCAACAGTTGCAATTCACATGTCATTTTATTTTATTTTACTTTATTTTTGGCAGTGCTAAGGATCAAATGCAGAGCCTGTGCTTGTTAAGCCAGAAGTCTGCTACTACTTAGCCATGCCCAGCTACCACTTGTCTGTCTGATAAAAGAAACGCAGAATGCAGAAGTTCTAGAAAACAGATAAGTGCAGAAAACCTATTAAAAATGGACAGGAACCTTGAACAGGCACTTCACTAAAAAGATACCCAAATAGTTAATAAAACATGTAAAAGTATACTCTCTTTTTTTTTGGTACTGGGGATTGAGCTCACAACCTTGCGCTTGCCAGCCAAGCACTGTGCTGCTGAGCTAGATCTCTGGCCCCTCACTTTTATTCTTAACCAAAGAAATGCCAGTTGGGAGACAGCTGCAGTTGAAGCACACATTTGTTGTTTAACCACTGTGAAAAAGCGCATGGCAGTTTCTAGCGAAGCTTTCCCCTTGAATGAGCATACCGAAGGAAAACAGGTGCCTGTCCATCGACAATTTTCACTACCGTACAGGGAAGCAGTATTCATAACAGACCCAAACTAGAAACATAAATTTTCTTTCTTTCTTTTTTTTTTGTCTTTTTCATTTTTACCGGTACCGGGGATCGAACTCACGACTGCCTGCTTGCAAGGCAGGCGCTTATGCCACTGAGCTAAATCCCCAGCCCCATATAAATTTTCATAAATGGGAAAATTTGCAAGGAGGCTGAGGCACATTCGTACAGTGGAGTCATAACACAGCGATAAAAATGAGCACTCACGGCACTGTCAGCTGGGTGAGTCCCACTGGTGTATTGAGTGAAACAAGCCATCTGTAAAAAGGTGGCCAGGTTCCTGTGCCTTTCATGCTGGAATGCAGGTCTGGAGAAAAGTAGTCAAGATGATAGAAGACAAACTAGTCCTAACCTGAGTGGTGAGCACTGCTTAGCAAGGGGACTCGGCTTTCTGTTTACGCCCTGATCTGTGGGTGGCACACGGCCTGTGCCTCCCGCAGGATACTGCGTGGCACAGTGTGCACTCTAGCAGCCTTTGTTTGTCTGGTGTTTTGACACAGGGTCTCACTGTGGAGCCCACATGGCCTCCCAACATCCTATTAGCCATGAACTCATCAGTGAGTCAGTCCAGCGTGTGTCTCACATCCCCACAGGCCAGTCGCCTCCCAGAGCCGCCCCTCTGAGAGCGTGAGGCTTTGTGGGGACCTCTGTGTGGAAGCTTTGCCAGGGTGGCATGTGGCTCCGCAGTTGCCAGGCACACAGTTAAAAGTGAGGCTGCTGCTGCCTCTCTCTGAGTCTTACAGTTCATCTTTTGAGCTTTTTACTGCCAGTGTTCTTTGAAAGTGATTAGATTTATAAAACAGGTCAGTCCTTAGTCGTGTCTGTGTGTCTGTGTGTGACTGAGGACTTTTCAGCTGTTGTCTTCCTGCTGCCTTCTCTCCTTCCAGCTGTTCATTTTATCACTGTTGCTTTATTCTCCTTCCTCAAGGAGCCAACAGAAACAATTGTTCTTTTCTGAGCCTCTGAGCCACCAGCTGAGTGATGCGGAGTGGGCATGCCACAGACATTCTCTTTTTTGTCAGAGATGTGGCATGAGTGTCCCCTCAGTGTGGCTCCGGCTGGCTTGTCCCGGGCCGTTTCTCACTTTCGTCCTGGCACTAATGTACCAGGTGGGATCTACAGTGGGAAAGCTCAGGATTATGGTGATAGGTTTTGTGCTTAGCGCTGGGTTTCTTAGGGTAAAGCATGCAGTTTTCCTGTGACTGTGGCACTGGAGCCTCTGACTCTAGTCTGTGTGGGAATCGAGCCTCTCCTGTCCCTCTCCCTGAGCCCTCCCAACTCACCCCTTTCCTCATCTTCTGTCACAGCTCCGAGCAGCAGGGTGCTTGTCTGCGCACTGCTTTTAAAGGCTTGCTGACAGTTAACCAACTGGAGGAGGGATTTTCCCATGTCTGTCCCGTGCTGCCTTCTCTCCAATGGAGGCTCTCTCATCAGTACTCTAGTCTTCCAGAACAGTCTTGCCTCATTTTCTGAATTATCTTGTCAGATCGTGCTCCACAGCCCTGCTCAGCACACCTCTGCATCTTCATCGTGAGACCCACTCCCTCTGTGACGACGGTCTGGCACACCTGTGAGCACCACGCATGTGGCTTCTGTACCAGCCTGCTGCTTACTGGTAGCCAGCCCGGGACGCTGGGCAGAATGAAGCTGGGTGCACAGGAAGCTGGTGGAAGGCAGTGTGCTGACCCTTAGCTTGCAGCCCTGCTGACACTTCCCTGTCTTCCTCCTTTGTTTACTGAGCACCCTTCACTGGGGGTGGCCGGAGAAACCTATTCAGGCCTGTTTTATCTCCATATGCCCCAGGTAACTCTATCAGCTTTAGAAAGGTGCTGGGCTGTGGGCGTGGGCAGGTGGCACCTGCTGCTGGTGACAGTCACCGGCTCAGTCAGCAGCACTGGATGTGACAGGGGAGCCAGGCGTCTTGAGCTTTCATGATGGGGCAGGGGGAGGGTAGGAGAGGGTCACTGGCAGAGCACTTTAGGTGAAGGTGTGACTAATGACACAGGACACAGCACATCGGCTCCTCCGTATGCAGTGAGGCTTAGCTGCCGGGCAGCCTGCTTTGGTTGGCTGTCCACTCAGTACCTGGTGCTAGCTGTGAATTGTTTTGGGCCTCCCATCCCTTCCTTCTCTGGGGTTGAATCCAGGACCTTCGCACTGAGCTGCATCCCCTGCCCTTTTTTATGTTTTATTTTGAGAGAGGGGCTCACTAAGTTGCTGAGCAGCCCAGGCAGCTCAAACTTGTGAACCTCCCCCTTAGCCTCCCAGAGTGCTAGGCCAGGCTGGCTTTTGCTCACTTTTTCACATAATTCTGATGCCTCTCCAGAGATCTGTGTTGCTATTTTTTGTGTTTCATATATAAGTAAATAGAGGCTCAGAAAAATGAATATTTTGTCCAAGGGCTCATAGCAGTGAAGAGAGCATTTTTTTGCTTTTAAACCCATGCATAATATTCTATCACTTCTCAGCCTGGATAAGGACCATTCTGTGATGACTGAAATGTTTGGTTGAATTATAATCTTAATATTCACCAGTTAAGTAAAGCAGACATCAGAAATTTAGTGCAATAAATGAAAAACCAATTGGAACACTAAAGAAAATCAAGGAAGCCATGAATTAGTTTTTTTTTTTTAAATGATCAAAAAATCAGCAAGTATTATAGCTATGCTGGCCAAGGAAGAAAAGCACAGATTCAGTTGACTGAACCAGGAGTGGGAGAGCGAATAGGGCTACTCACCTTCGAGAAATACAGCCAGGTGAGGAAACAGTGGTGTTTCGCTTCACAAACTGCGTTTTTCTCCACGATTCTGGTGGCAAAGCAAACTGGAAAAGAAACAGACTTGCCCGTAAGTCAGCCTGAACCTAGCATTGAACTTGGTTTGGTTCTATCGAAAGAACCAAGTCTGTAAGCTGAGGCACCACGTACTGCAAACATTATACGGCAGCAGATCAGGTAACCTGGATACAGTGCCAGGGAGACAACCTACAAACGTTAAGAAATTATTTGAATCTGAATAGACCTATAAAACTCCTGAGATTTAGTAGTCAAAAAACTTCTACAAAGAAATGTTTAGAACCAGAAGGCTTGCTAGTGAATTCTGAAAATCGGAGAAGGGTGGATACTTCCTGCCTCATTTTGGGAAGCCAGTATTGCCTTGATAGCAAAACCAGATAAGATATGTCAAGAAAAGCAGCCTACAGGCCAATCTTCCTTCTGAATACAGAGGAGAGTAGGCTCTCAACAAACCCCGCCCAACATAGAAGGGTAACACACCATGATCAGTGGTGTTTACTCCAGGAATGCAGAACTGGTTCAACATATGAAAGCCGAGCCGGGCTGGGGATGTAGCTAGCACCTGCCTGGCAAGCACAAGGTCATGAGCTTGATTCCTAGTTAAAAAAGAAAAGGGCTGACCAGTACAACACAGAAAAAATAACCACAGCCCATCTCAGCAGGTAAGGAAAAAGCATTTGACCAAACTTAACACCCTTTCATGATAAAAAAAAAATAAAAAATTAGGCCTAGAAGGGAACTTCCTCAGTTTAATAAAGGACATCTTTGAGAAACTTGTGGC